TCTAATACCAGGATTTGCACAGATTTTGATTTCTCTAATTCTGATAACTTCATGATTTTCTTCTGGGAAACAATTTTCTTCACTTTCAAAAGACATTTCACTGTGCATCCTTAAAGCAGTGGAGTTTATCTTTCCCTTTGCAACAGGTAATTTCATTATCATGCGAGGCATATGAAGACTGAAACTGGACCTGTCTCTCCCTGCCTCCTCTATTCATTGGGATTTGTACTATTTTATGACATAGGAGCTCTATCATAAATCAGTATGATAAATGAGTATTCAACATGGCTCATTTCAACATGTCCTCCCCATGGCTCAAGCACTCATTGCTGGGCTTTCTTAGACATGGAACTTCCTAAATATGACGCTGTGATTTGATGCACAGTGTGATGCTACTAATTGTGTGAGTGCTAATGCCGCAGATTGTAGGGATGGGGTGGGCTCACAGTGTTCCCTGGGTAGGAACTGTGGTGATAATAGGGCAACAACAGACAAGAGATGATCGTCAGGCCAGGTGGAGATGCTCTCCCTCTCTTGAGCAAAGGAGAACTGCCCAAAACAGGAGAGCATTTATTTATGCCCTAGAGAGCTTCTTAAGCTCAACCTCTCATCAAAGAAATCCATTAGCAAGCTGCACTAGCCTGCTGCAAGGAGCTCCCATGTTCTCAGGCCTGCTTCGTCCTGCACACGTCATGGCTTTCCAGCTTCAGCCGCTCCCAACCAGTCCTGGGCAAATCCCATGTTTATCTGGAGGCGGCACTGCAGAGGCCTGTAATCCCAGCACATGGAAGGCTGCAGCAGGAGGATCTGGGTGGAGTCGAGAGCAACATGGGCTAGATAGAGAGTTCAGCGTCATGCTCAGTAGACAGACAGCCTGTCTAAACCGAAGAAAACCAGTCTGTGTTTTATGAAGTAGCAGGTATAGTCTGTGCTTATTTATGTCTTTAGTTTTATGTTACGATTGGTTGACTCATGCGGGATTACAGAATTGGGACTACTGCATTTCATCATGGACTCTGTTCTCCCAAGATTTTCTTTCAGCCTTACACAGAAAGTGTAAGCACACAGAACGTGGGTCTTTACCGCAACTGCAGAGCTCCAGCTGGCCATTTCTCCCAGGCTGAGGAGCCCAC